TGGGAAAGACAACTAACTTGTTTCTGTAGTTTTCTTCCTGCATGTAGTTCCTTTATGGTATAAGCCAGACCTGTTAAGTAAGCTGAGAGCGGGCATGCTGATGCTACTTTGGTTTATCCTAAGTTTAGCATCTCAGTGTCATTCAGGTTGGAAGGGACCTCTGAGAGTGTCTAGTCTAACCTCTTGCCCAAAGCAGGGTCAGTGATGAGATGGGCTTGAAATAACTAAAAATGATTCTGTTGATAGTATTAAGTGGGTTGTATCTGGGCTCTAAAAAAACACTGTGGAAATCTACTCCTACAATAATAAAGTCCCCATGTGTTGCTTGATCTAGTTGAGAGGTGGCGTCCCTGGCGACAGGGAGGCTGGATTAAAATAATCTCTAAGGTCCCTTCCAGCCTAGGCCATTCTATGATTCTAAAGTAATTGGAGGGATTTCCAGTGTGATGTATTAAAGCTAGTGTTTCTGGTGGAAACAATTATGTGCTGAAATGGTGAACAGAGTTCACCAGAAAATTGTACAAAAGTGTCTGGGATAGCTCAGCTTTCTTCCTGTGTTACTTAACTTTCTCTGTCCTTCAGCTAGCTCTGCAGGAAGGAGCGGGAGATCAGCGCAGACGTGGTGAAGAATTAACAAGCTGGAAGGGGCTTACTGGTTTAGGTTTTTTCCTGTCCTTGCTAATACAGTGAGCAAGTCTGTCTTGGAATACCCTGCTCTGTTCACTAGGAGGTAGTGTAAGGCAAAGGGATACAGCAAGGGTTACCTCTTTTTATCAGCTAGAGTCTGAACCTGTGAAGTTCAGTAAAATTCACTTAGTAATAATTCTGAGTTGATTTCTTGTGTTAGTTGTATAGCATTGAACAAGCACATTGTCCTCAAATTCTGCTGTTTGTAGACCAGGGACCATTAAATCCCTGGACAGCAAGTTGTTGAAGAAATATAAGCCACGGATAATAAATTGTGAATTCTAAGCTTTAGAAATTGTTTTCAAAAATACAAGGCACAAAGAATCAAGATACTGTATTTTGTGCTAGAGCTCTATATACATAGGTAATCTGGAATCTGCTGTTCCAAGATCAATTAATTCTCTGGACAAGAGATATTTTTCTTAAGAGGATTTTTTGAATTAAAAATTGTATTATGTGTTTTTCCTCAGTTTCAGGCTTAAAGACCTAATATTCTGCCTCGATCTTATTTGTACCTATAGCCCACTGAAAGCAAGTCTCCTGGCAAATGTGATATTAAATACTAACTATCTGTAGGAAGCACTTTGACTTCAAATTATCCGAGATAAATTAATAAGTAACTCCTTTCTGATCTTGGGCATGTTTTTTAGCTTGGAAGGAAATGTAGTATCTGTGATACATTTCATTCAACTACAATTTGCAGAAAGCTGCAGATGTAAGGAAAAGAAAAAATGCAGGAAGAAATCACATCTGTTGAGGAGCATGATTAAATGCTGACTTGAAATAATGTGATTCACTGTATGGGAAATCTTAGTGTAAAAGCTCTAATTCTTGGATCAATGGTACATAAAAAGAATGAATCTTGGACAGATAGTAATCTGGCTTTGACCTTAGAATTACATACACCTGCAGAATCAAGGTTATTGATCCCCATCTTAATCAGACATTTCAAACATCAGAATTTGGAAACTTAAATATTTGCTTCATACTGAGGTAACTGATTTTTTTCCCCTCTCTTTTTATTCCTAGTGTTTAGGTATTTAAAGCTGTGGTTAAGATTAAATATGACTTGTGGTTTTTTGCTGGAAATCATGATTCATGGTGAATGGGCAACCACTATACTGTTGTTTTATTTTTTTCTTCCTACCCCAGCAGAATGGGTGTAGTTTTGCTAAAATAGCATGCTGTGAGGATTAATTAGATGGGACTAGGAAGCCCACAAAAGTTACATGGTTCACCTTTTATTATGAGTATGAAATCATCACAAAGAACTAAATGGCTAAGTTGGTCAATTTTTATTCTGTAAGTGTGTGGTTCTCTAGAGAATTGTAATCTGTTCAAAGACAGGACTTGGAAGCTGCTGATGCCCAAGGTACAATCATTTTGTTCAGCAGTCTCACTGACTTCAGACAGGTGTTGTATGAGATTCCTCTTGTTCTTCTTGCCTGATAACCATTATTCCTTGTTCCTTTGCTCAAGGGGTACTTGAAATATCACTGTGTTGGAAGGAGCAGACATCTGCAGGTATCAGTTGGCCAAGGTGCTAAGAATCTTGGTGAGCTCAGATATACTTCAGTGGCTTGCACACATTTTTATTCAAAAGGAGAATTATATTGATTCTTAGCCTTGCATTACTTGCCCAAACCTTCTTTCAGTCATGATTACAGGTGTTGCTCTCATCAGGAATCATCAACAATGGAGTAAGTTTCTCAAAGTGGGCAAACTGTTATAGTGCTGAGTGGTTTTGAGAAGAAAATCTGAAAGGATCTGGAACAGTAAGCATGCAAATAGTTTGCTGCCAGCTCAAGCAGAGATGAGGGTGCCAGATCCTGTGCTTTTAACCTCTGTGTTTGGTAACACTTTATCCCAAGATCTTTCCATTCTCTTTCAAAGTATATCACCGTGCTTCTGAGAGGGAGGCAGTTCACATCACCTTGTTCAGTAAATACTGTCATATCCTTGAATTTGATAGTTACGGACTGAGGTCTCATGTAAAATCTCTTTTCTGATAATAGTATCTTCCACAAAATAGCTATAGCAAATGGACTTAGTGGTGTGCTAATTAAGAGAGATCAAATCCAAAGGACTACATTTGTGCTTGTAGGTTTGACTTATCTCTGTGAGACAACTATATTATAGCTGAAAACACCAGCTGCATGTAAATAAAAGGTGGGGCATCCCTGTCAGTAGAAGCCTGGTTAATTCTGGGCTGAATTAGTTTATTTATACTCCATTTAAGTTCAGACAGATTGTCACTGCCATCTGGTTCCCAGAGAACAGCACAGTAAAGAGTATGCTTAGATTTAATGTATCAGAATTTCGTGTCTTGCTAGGTCTCTTAGCACATAATTTCAGAAGGCGGGGAACTTCGGTCACACCAAATTTGTCAGACAACAAAACCAAAAGCTGGTGATAGAAAACCTCACCAGACAAAAAAGAAAGGTATAGTTCCAGTCTGAAAAGAGCTTCCTCTTGATTCTTTGCTGCTTAAAATGAAAGCAAGGATTCAAAACAACAACCTGGGAATACTCATGTTTTCTACTGGCTGAGAGAGTCTATGGTTCTTTGATAATTCACAGAATCACACAGAATTGTTGAGGCCGGAAAAGACCTCTGAGATCATCAGGTCCAACCTATGACCCAGCACCACCACATCAGCTAGACCACGGCACTAAGTGCCACATCCAGCTTCTCCTTAAACACCTCCAGGGACTGTGACTCCCACACTTCCCTGGGCAGGGCATCCCAATGTCTGAGCACAATGTCTGAGGAAGTGTTTCCTGCTATCTAACCTAATCCTTCCCTCATGCAGTTTCAGTTCTTTTTACTTTCAAAGGGATATTCTTTCTTAGGCACTGGGTCTTGCTGGAACTTTTGTCCAGAGGACGGAGTCTTGAATCTCATAGCTTAACCTTGTTAACTCTGCATTTCTTTGAGGTACAGAGGGATGCATCTGTATATTTCTGTGGAATGGTCTTCCAGATAGAAACACTACCTCGATTTTGAGAGTTATCTCTTGATAGCACTTAGTGATACAGGACAAGAGAATCTTGCACAATACAAGATAACTGCCTGGCATCCAAGGTTTGATCCTTCAAATTACAGGTTTACGTGTGTCTGTAAATGCCTTGGTAGGCATGCACCTTATCCTATGATCTCCCAGTAAAGCTAGTATTCTATTTAAGCTCCCTTTGAAGAGATATTGCTAATATTCTTTTTTAGCTTATAATGGATATCTGAGCTCTGGAGAATAACTTTTCATTCTGCTCACTTTTGAAGTTGGAATACATCATCTCATTTTTGAGTTTTCAACCAGGAGGCCATACAGCTGATTAAACTCATTTATATTTTGTGCTGCAAAACATTAAATGCAACTTCAATACTGTTGCATATATATATATGCTTATAACATGTATCCCATAGTTAAACTTGCCTCAAAAATGACTTGGCTGACATGATCCACTGTGTAGCTAGTTGTGTTTTTTCCCTACTGCAGGTCTATTTTTTGTCTGTGTAGCTCCATGCACACCAAGGATTTGCTGCTCTTTAGACCTCATCCTCAAAGGTTTAATACATTGGAGCAATTTTCTGTTATGTGAAATTGTCCTCTTCCTCAAAGAATTTTATTTCTTTTATTGCTGGTCTGATTTCCTGTGACTAAAAATATTGAAAAATTATGTATCAAAATTAGAATCCAAGTCACCAGTCACAGCTACATCTCAGGTCTGTAATATTGTTGAATATCTACAGCTTTCTAATTGCAGATTCAAAATCTAGTAAATGGGGAGCTGTGGCTGGCTTGTTTGTTTGTTTTCTGAAAAAAAGGTTGAACGTGGTAATCTTGCATATTAAATGTGTGGGTTTTAATCTCTGAATGTTGAAAGATTAGATTGTATGTTCAAAACTGATATAGGGATAAACATGCGTTACACAACTGAGAGAGCATTTTAAATTGCTTTTCTACTCCTTTTGATTCTTCTGCCACTTTAGTGCCAGATTTTCAGTTGTTTATATTGAAGTTCTTCAGTTTTGTTAGAATTCAAATATAGCTCAGACAAAATAAGTGCTATATTCAGTGTCAGAAGCACAATTACTCTGTAGCATAGTGGCTTAGAATGTATTCTGTAGTCACAGTATCAGCATTTTGAGTCAGTGTTCCTAGAAAATACTCCTCTAGGATCTAGTTGGTAATTTATTTTTTTAATTATCAAGATCAATATCTATGTTTCCCTATTATAAAAGGATAGACTTACAATGTGAGAATCGAGTGATTGAGAATATACTGTTTGAAATCTGAAATTGGTTGTATTCAGTACTGAGAAAGCTGCTACTAGGAAAGCAGATGACTTGCCTCTGTGTGGTGGAATGCCTCTTCTGGCAGGAGAAGCCTTCTTGGAAGAGGTTGGTCTTGAGAACTCACTGGTGCCTTTGTGTTCCAGCTTGGTTGTCATTGGTTTGTGACATGATGTAGTTGGATAGGCTAGGCACGTGTGGTTTTCAGTTTTGCTAAACTCTAGAAGTATTGCATTATATGAAAAGGTAAACCTTTTGATGCCACTTTGATAAATACAAAGCAGCTCTTTAGGGTTTTGTAACTGCTTGTTGCTCTACTATAAACATGATTTGCAAATAGAACTGGCTATATGCATGCATTTTGATAAACTGTCTTAATTCTGTTTGCTCTCTTTGCAGGCTGCGGACTTGAGTAAACCAATAGACAAAAGGATATACAAAGGAACACAACCTACATGCCATGACTTCAATCACTTAACAGCCACAGCAGAAAGCGTGTCTCTTCTAGTGGGCTTCTCTGCAGGCCAGGTCCAACTAATAGACCCTATTAAAAAAGAAACTAGCAAATTATTTAATGAGGAAGTAAGTAGAAATCTTAACATTGTTGCATGCAGTGTATTTCTGATATTAAAGAGCCTAGATTTTCAAAGTTGTGTAGATGGCTACATTTGCCTATAGAGCTTATCATTCAGTCACTACCTTTGTTTTTCAGCTATTTCATTGGCTTGGAATACCTACACGAAAGTGTTATTTGTGAAGGAATCTTTGGGGATTTAAGATTAAAATTAGTACTTTCTATTTTGGGTAATACAGTGACTAGAATTAATGACAGTTAACTGAGTATAAAAAGGTCTGCAAATTTAAATATTGCTGCCTGTGCTTTGCAGTTGGTTTCTGAGACTTATGGTTCTGAATGAAGAAGAGAACATTTAAGCCCTCATTTAAATAATACATTATAGTAAATATTATTATATAAGGCAAAAATATTAATTTCTGTGGTCAGAGTGTTACAGCAGAAACGATCTGTATCAAGAATTCCTAAAGGCTTGCCTGGAGAAGACTTAAGATATCAAGCTGAATGCAGCATAGAAAAAGCTGAAGGCTTAGGAGGTCTTGGCCATGTGATCTTCCTGAAAGAAACTCTTCCATCTGTTTTTTTCTGCTGCTGTGCAATAAGGAAAGATAGAAGGGAATACTATGGGGGGGACTAATGCCAAGTTATGAGACTACTGGCTCAGAATTTCTAGTAGTACTGACATTCTTAGAAGAGTAAGTGTCTGGATGCTAACAAGGAAAGAAATCTGGTAACTGGTACAACTTTTCACAGCGTTTTCTGCAGAAGCTAAGCTATGGGAATTTTGTTGCTTGGGGGCAGGTGATTCTTCTTTGGAAGGTGTATTCTGCTCTTTTTTGATGTTTTAATCCAGCTGTAGGTGAATTGTTGGGGAGGTAGTAAAGAGCTTTGTGGGTGGTTTTTTGTTGGTTGGGGGTTTTTTGTTTGTTTTTGTTGGTTGGTTTTTGTTGGGGTTTTTTATTTTAATAAATTTCAAATCTGAAGAAAGGTTTACAGATGAAATTAAGCCTTGCTCAGCTTTCAAACTAAGCAAGCATATCTATCCCACCTCAAAGATCATAGAATCATAGATGTTGCCTTATTCTGTATTTATGCAAAAAAAGATGGAAGTATTGTTCTCAGTGGGCTTGTTTTATAATTAGAGCTGTCTAATTCCTCCTCAGCTTTCCATAAATAGCTATATGTAGATCAGAAGGGGGATATTTTTCTTCTTACCTAGCCTTTTCCAACCTGCTCTATCTCTCTGCTTCTGCTGAGTTGGAAACACTGCTGGAGAATCTTAGTATTGCATGGAGTACTCTTTTTGGAGGAAATCTCTGTATAAAGTACTTGAAATACTCATTTTAGTGGAGGAGGAGAGGTGTTAGGACAATGCTGTTGCTCTCACAAAAAGCCACAACCCACCCCAAACCATAAAATCCTAAATGTTGTCGTTGGTGCAGCTTCACCACAGGGAGTGCTAGTCTGGATGTGAACAAGTTACTTGTGTAAGTACAGCTTGGATTTAATCTTGTGTGATAATAGTGTAAATATTACAAATGGCAGTAGAAATACTGTAAAACAGCTAAAGTTTTGTATCACAGAGCAGTTCCCACCCTTGTGGGAACAAAAACTTCTGCTGAAATACTTACATTAAGTTCTAATGCATGTTTACATGCCTTGACGTGGTTTAACTGTCTAGTGACTACAGTATAAAACTGTATTGCAGGCTGAATAGTTCTTGTGGTAACCCACAAATAATGGAAGCACGGAAGCCGCCTCTATGAGACAGTATTGTCTTTTCTCTGCACTATAACCAGCGTTACATTGCTGCGATGGGGATACGTCCCTTGACAGATTGGTGGAAATTAAACTAGATGTTCTATTTTATACAAAGCTAACATAAAGATTTGCTCAGTGCTATCAAAGCTACGTGAGTAGGCTAGAGTTAAATCAAAATCTTGTTTCCTACACTGATCTTCTCTGCAGTCATAACCAATTCTAAAATTTCTAGATATTTTTAATCTGTCAGTTACAGCATGGAAGTTTGCCCTGGCCAAGTTTGGAAGTGCGGGCTTGTATCTAAAAACTGTTTCAGAGAAACCTCAGGGAGCATTGATGATCGAGCCAGTTTGTTTGCATCAAGATGAAGGTGCCTGTTGAATTTTGAATATATTTAGAGTTTAGATGGTGTTAGCGTCCGAGAGTAAACATGTCTTCATAGGCAGAAGTGGTCTAAGTGAGTGTTTACATCTTTTGGCAAATTTACTGGTAATAGAACTCACCACTTGTCCTGTTAGTAATGTGGTGATTCAGGTAGCCTAAAGCCCTGCTTTGACTGTCACTGTGCTAAAGCCATCAGGATAGCAATTAATTGTATGTGATATGTGAAATAACCTGTTATGACACAGAAGGCTGTGTTGAATCTAAATGCAAGAGCTTTAATGCCGTCTAACTTGTTACTCCTTTTTGTTGTTGTTGTTAAAAAATATTCTGTTGAAGACAATAGGGACTTGAAAGGCTGAAGTGAGTGCTGTTATGCAGCTTGTGGCTGCCTACCTAAATCAATCTGTATCCAGTGGTATTCCTTCTAGCTATGTCAGAGTTAAATTAGTGGTATTTTCTTGTTCACAAACCCAACCAAGTACACCTCACAGATGCAGGTGTTTCCAGCTGGTAGTTGGTTATTCTCAGGCTAGCCAGTTGAATTAGGTTTCTTTCATCTTATTTTAAAATTTATTTTAACTAAAGCCTTAAGTTTTTTTTTCTTTCCCCTGGTAAACTTTTCCTATTCCTGTGTCTCCAAGGTTCCTTGTCAAACCTTAATTCCTTGATTGCCTTAGTGTTTTCCCTCCTTTGTGGCCTGTGCCTGTAAGTTTGTCCCCTGAAGCTTGTTCAGAACATGGCTACCAAGACAGTCTTGTCTTCCTGACTGATGACTGAAGTTCTTTCACTTACTGTTCTTTCACCAAACTGAACATAAGCTCCCTCTAACCCAGCTACCTCACTGATTTGCTTGATACTGTATTCAGCCCATTCTTGTAATGCATCTGCCAGTCATACTGCCTTCAGGTCTTGTTGTGTTGTGCTGCAGAAGTGTGTGAGCCCAACTGAAAGCTTTTACAACTTCAGGAAGTCATAACTTCAGAGTTTCTATCTTCCTGGTGAATTTAAAGCTCTGCTAGTTGAGAAGGAGTGAGCCGTAGTCACTTGCTGCATCTTGTCTCTTTGGGCTAATCTCTTCTAATTGCAGATTGCAATCTCTCGATTTATTCGTAGCCTTTTTGAAATCAAGACTGGGTTTGCAGGGTTCCTGTAAAGTATTTAAGATGGTGTAGTCCAGCAGGACTATGGTCTGAAAATGCTGTTTCTAGTATAAAAATTTCTCTTATGAGTACAGGGTGTATGTCAGGTTGAGCTGCTATAGTAGAGAAGAGCAAGAAATTTCACTTTGTTGCTGAATTATTGGTAGTAATGAGAAGACTGTTGCCAATAGCAAGCCAGCTGGGCTGGTCTTCCCTGTCCATACTATGTTGGTGTGTACCAGGTAACTTTCTGTCTGATGTTTTTGATATCATCATTACTGAGGCATGAATGATATGTGTAAGTGAACACATGACAAACTACTTAACATATTCTTAGCTTCTGTTGTGATATTTTATTTCAAAGCTATGGCATTTGAGGAAAAGTTCTCAGAGATTAAGTTATATCTCTCAGCTCTCAAATACAAAATATCTAAATTAACCAAGGAGAAATTACAGAAGAGAGGCTTCCTGGTCTTACATGGAGATTGACAGCAGCAAAAGTATAATCTAAAGTGACCATGTGCTGCTTTGCAGTAATAGTTCCAGACCCAGAACAGATGACAGTCAACGTATCACCCATTAGTTTGGGGGTTTTTTTAGAGATAAACAGCGTAGTAAATTTTTTGGGGGGGTTCTTGTTTTTTAACATCTCTATAATTTGTTACGATCTTTCCTTAGGCTCTTTATATTTACGTTCTTGCCTTTTCTGTAGCTCAGCTTTTCTTTCTGCCTATAATCAATCTATCCCAAAGACAAATCTTGAATGTGCATGCAAAAAGTTACTTGTCTCCAAGTGGCAGTTGAGGGATGCCGTGGCCGACTTGGTAAGTTTTAGAAGCCCACCAGAACTACGCTAGCAAACTCAAGGAGTCAAACTCTATGTCTCAGTTCTTACAGCATTGAAGACATTGTGATCAGAAATGTTCATTTAATGTGTCTGCTCATTCTTTTGTTATGATGGACTCTATTAAAATATTTTTCTTTAAAGGAAACTTCTTAATCAGGTGGTAAGAAAGTATTGACAGGACCTTGGCTAATGAATGAAATATAATTGGAGGGTGGGGATTTTGAGGTGAAGAGTATCTGATGCCTTTTGAATTTACTGAACCACATGCATTTAACTATTGATTTTCCAGCCACATGGTAACAGGGTCATTGTATATGTAACTTTTGCTCCCTGAATCAGTAAAATCTGGTAAAGGCTCCTAAAGCCTCTCTTTTCTTTTTTTTCAAAGGATGGATTTTACTTGTGTTCTCAGATAAAACCAGAGTCTAAATTTACTGTTGTTGATTTGTAGCCTCTTTGCTGTGTAGTACAGATGAGTAACTGGTTTTTTCCCTTTAGCTCATTCCATATTTTCTTGTTTCCTTTTCGTACTCTTCAACGTACCTAGTGGAAAACGAACTTAAGAACTTTTAGACTCATAACAACAGATTGGCTTGATTGAAGTATGTTCTTTGTGGAATGTGACTGGACTGTAATAACAACCTTTGGTAGGACTTTGCCTAAAAATAACTTCTTCTTTACTGCCTGATAAGCTTTTGCAAATACAGTAACATAGCTCCTTCCTAGGAAGTTGAGTTCACTTTGCTCAAGTATTGTTCCCAAGCCCCCCCCAAAGCTCAGATTTGCAGCTAATAATTAAAACTTTTATTTTTCAGACTTTCTGATGTGTATCTTCTTTGTTTTTCACAGAGACTAATAGACAAGTCCAGAGTAACCTGTGTAAAATGGGTACCAGGTTCGGAAAGCCTTTTCCTAGTAGCTCATTCCAGTGGCAATATGTACTTGTATAACGTGGAGCACACTTGTGGTACCACAGCCCCGCACTACCAGCTTCTTAAACAAGGAGAAAGTTTTGCAGTTCACACTTGCAAGAGTAAATCCACAAGAAACCCTCTGCTTAAATGGACAGTAGGTGAGGGTGCCCTGAATGAATTTGCCTTTTCCCCAGATGGGAAGTTCTTGGCGTGCGTGAGCCAGGATGGTTTTCTTCGTGTGTTTAACTTTGATTCGGTGGAATTGCATGGTACAATGAAAAGCTACTTTGGAGGACTGCTGTGTGTGTGTTGGAGTCCTGATGGGAAGTACATAGTGACAGGTGGAGAGGATGACTTGGTGACAGTTTGGTCTTTCGTGGACTGTCGAGTAATAGCGAGAGGCCACGGACATAAATCGTGGGTCAGTGTTGTTGCGTTCGATCCGTATACCACTAGTGTAGAAGAGAGTGACCCAATGGAATTTAGTGGAAGCGATGAGGATTTCCAAGACCTTCATTTTGGCAGAGATCGAGCGAATAGTACGCAATCTAGGCTATCCAAAAGGAACTCTACAGACAGTCGTCCAGTAAGTGTTACATATAGATTTGGTTCAGTAGGCCAGGACACGCAGCTCTGTTTGTGGGATCTTACAGAAGATATCCTCTTCCCCCACCAACCTCTCTCAAGAGCAAGGACACATACAAATGTCATGAATGCCACAAGTCCGCCTGCGGGAAGTGGTGGAACTAACCCGGGAAGTAATGGAAACAGTATCACAACACCTGGAAACTCTGTACCCCCTCCTCTTCCACGGTCCAACAGCCTTCCACACTCTGCAGTCTCAAACGCTGGCAGTAAAAGCAGTGTCATGGATGGTGCCATTGCTTCTGGCGTTAGTAAATTTGCAACCTTATCGCTACACGATCGGAAGGAAAGACACCATGAAAAAGATCACAAGAGAAATCATAGCATGGGACATATATCTAGCAAGAGCAGTGACAAACTGAACCTAGTTACTAAAACCAAAACGGACCCAGCTAAAACTTTGGGAACACCTCTCTGTCCCCGAATGGAAGATGTTCCCTTGTTAGAGCCTCTTATCTGTAAAAAGATAGCACATGAAAGACTGACTGTGTTAATTTTTCTTGAAGACTGTATAGTCACTGCTTGTCAGGAGGGATTTATTTGCACATGGGCAAGGCCTGGTAAAGTGGTAAGTTTTAATCCTTAATGCTGCATCAAAGAACTAGAACTCTGAATAGGTAGTTTTCTTGAAATATAAATGAATGTTGAATATAAAATTTCTTTATGCTTAATGTAAAAAAAAAAATAAAAAATCCTCAGAGCCATACTTTTGGATACTGCATGCCATATTTCTGAATGATTTGAAGTGTCTTGGATACAATTACGAAGTATAGTTGCCTTCCAGCAGACAAAATAAATACTGTGCATCTAAACTATTGATCAGTGTTCTTATACTTCAGCATAACCACAATATGGTGAAAGCTGTTTATGTAAAAATTGAAGTAAAACCTGTCAATCGTTAAAATAATGCTAATTCTTCTAGTATTTTCTATGAATTGCAGTACTCCCAATGAGAGTAGCTTATGAAAAGCTGCTGCTTTTAGGCCTAATGAGAAATGTGAGCCTCTGAAAAAATTAAAACCAAAGTGTTTTATTCCTCCATATTTTCTGTGGTGGCCTGCCATTAATGTAAATCACTTCTTATTAAAATGTTGGCCATTTTATGCACACATTTGTGAGCCCTTTGCCAACCGTAGTTTGTGCTCTTGAAACTGTGAAGCAGCATTACCAACTCTTAATTTTAGCCAGATCTTGAATTATGTATCTGTTAAGTTAGGGCAGATCACGCAAGCTTTCTCCAGGTAGTTTCTGTGTTACGTTGCTGTTGACTTTGCTCAGCAGTTTGACCATCAACAAGCTCGTGCTTTTTGATGGCACCTGTTCTCTGAGTTGAACCTTCACTGAAATATATTACTAGCTTTAACTCTTGTCCTTAATGCACCTGAACACGGATAACACTTCATTTATTTTTTTTTCCGTCCAATGTATAGCAAGCTAAATTTTGAATGAAGCTGAATGTGATTATTTTATTAAAAGTACTTTGTGCTACAACAGCTTTGTTTGCCAGTGACATTTTAAAGGAATACAGCTGTGCCAGAGTTGATCTAGCAAAAAAGGGCCATTATTTTTGTGTAAATCTCTGAAAGGGCTTGTAGGTTATCACCTGAAGAAAAAGAAATAATCTGGTAATGCCTGAATATTGCCATGTTGAGCAACCTAAATGAAAACCTGATGTTCGTTAGGTTTTAACTATTTGGTTCATAAATCTGACTTTTGAAGTGGAGGTACTGTATATATCTATAACACCACATCTTCATTGGTATAAACATTGAAGTAAAACTCAGTTTTTCTTAAAACTGTTTGTATAATCTAACTTTCTTTGAAATGTATCAAATTTGTCACAATAGGTGTGTATAGAGAGCTATGTCTGCTCTGCATCTTGATGCATATTTAAAAGTTGAATCTAAATCTAAAAAGTGTAAACCCTTTTCTGGGGAGAAGGGAGGAGAGTGTTACCTAAAAGTATTTTTTGCAGAAGAACTACAAATCCAACCTCTCCCCCCAAACACTAAACTATTTAAAATGTTTGTCATAAGTGAAAATACTAAAGTACTTATCGCTTCTGTGACTCAGTGCAATTCACATGTCTTATGAATTAACTTTATACGCATACAGCAGTGCCTCAGATTTCTATTGTTACCTATATTTTTTGTTGTAAAACTCCTTTACATACTACTAAACACTACACTATTAAATTTATTTTCAGTGACTGAAGTGGGTTTTGTTAGGCTGGGTATAACTTAAATATTTTTGTGTATTGACTTTGATTTGGAATATGACATTTCAAATATTTCAGAGATAAAGTATGCAGTTCCAAAAATCAGGATTTATGTATTGGCCAATATGGAAAACTTTAATTACAGGTAAGTAATTTTCATGCTGAAGTTATCACTTGCAAAATTAATATATTGCACACTGATGTAAATGCCATATTGTTTAGGAAGTATTTACTTAGAAATTTTCAAATTAATTTGTTTTTTGATTTCACTTGCATTTCTAGTGAGCTCACTCTGCTGGTAAAAACTAAATTTTGGTGGCATGTTTACAGGGCTTTGATAGTAAAATATTTGTGCCAGAAGGACGTTATGAGCATCCTTTTTGTTTATAAGAAAGCACTTAATTTTATTTAATGAAAATTTTCAAAGTATAAAACACTTATGGTGATGTCTTTCTTACTGGGTTATATACCATTCATTTCAGTTTCGCCAGTTGTTTAATCCTAGTCTGCCCTGTTACTCTGGGGCTTAAAGCTGCTATTTCTAGTCTTCCTTTTGAAATTTGGGTCTCTGAGTGATCTGAGAAACTCCATCACTTTTTTGTCTGCCAACTCTAGAGTGAGAGCCTCTGAATCTTGCTGCTTCTTCCATCATTGCCTCCAAAAGCCTTCATTAAATTCATGCTGCTGTCAGCCTAAAGAAAGAATTGGATGGGAAACTGAAGCAGGCTTGCAGGGTCTAACATAATTTCCACTGAGGCAGCGCTGCCTTTCCCTCTCACTTTCAATAGCCATCAAAAGACGGGCTGGTTAATTGGATAGTGTATGGCAAGTGCTCTTCAAAAAAAAATCCAGAAATTTCAGCTGTCATCCTTACGGTAGTCGGTAGGCTGCACAGTGCTTACAGTGTCCTGACATATAAACTTTCTGAATTACCACTTCAGTGTATGCCTAATCCTACCTTGAGCTTCCTCGCTGGATACGCTCTTGCGCTGCACTTCCAGAAGTGTTGTGCTGACTCCCAGTTGGAGGGAGGTGAAGCAAACGGCAAAATTCAATTAGAAACAAGTTGAATGAGGCTCAGGGTTCACCGGCTTTGATCTATTTATTTATTTAATTATTTTTTTACTCTCTTTTTTGTTAGCCTGTGTCTGCAAAAGAAGGTTCAGAGGGATGAGAAAAATAGCTTGCCTTAACAAGAGTATGACCTTTCTGCTCAGTGTGTTAACAATTAGCTGTGGCCTCTCCCCCTGTCTTTCCCAGGCTCTGATGGGAAGCCTGAATGGAATTACAGAACTGAAAATGTAGAACAGTAATTTCAAAGGAACAAAGGTAAACTTGATGTGCTATCTTTATAGCTACTTCAGACTGAATTACAGGACCTGCAGAAGCCAATAAAAAAGACTGACAAAACCACTCAACAACAAAAAAACAAAACCAACCCCAAAAACCCACGGAAAAACCAAAGTGGTACCTGGATATGCAAAACAAGTTTTCTCTGAACTTAGCAGTCAGAGGAACTAACTTTCTGTGTGATTTCTGTGTTTGATTTCAGAATTAACTATTCACCGTCTTGTACAGTGACTCCTTTTTATCTAAATGCAAGTTGCTGATCAGCTGTTTCCGCTGTAAGAAAGCTCAAGGTAGGATTGACCAGCAGTCTGAACGGGCGAAATGGCTGTGTATAACCTAGCAAGATAAACATGCTACCATCTTGTAAAGCAAATGCACATGGAATTTATTTATTTGACTTATTGTACAGGAAAACTTAGACTTAAATTATAACATCCTTGAATTTTTCTAGTTAACTACAATTGTAGTACAGTATCATGTTTTAGTATGACTTCTCTTTTAGTGAAAGTACTTAAACATTCATGTACTATATTTGGGTGAGATGAGCAGCTATACGTACTAATTCTTCCTCAGTGGAAAGGAGCATTTCATCATTACAATTGAAGTTCAATTGCTGGTATTTAAGTACTATCAAATAGATTTCTTTCAACGTGATACGGTATCTGTATAAACTTCAGGGATGATTACAGTAAAAACTGAAACACAGCTATATGACTTCAGGTTACCATGCTCAAATTTGAAGCTTTCTGTCATGTGCGTAAGAGCGAAGTTGCACATAGCATCCCCGCGTTATCAGGGTGAATTCAAACCTAGAACACTGGTGTGATATTTATAGCGAGGTCTGTGTGTGTGTGTGTGCGCGCGTGTCCGTGTGTGAGGAGGAGCAACTGGTGGCTCCAGGAAAGCCGGGAGAGAACGTAACCCTGTGAAGGCTTTATGATGAGGATGTCTGGATTAGGAAATAACATGACTTTTACTAAACGCTTTTTAGAAGACCCATGTTCTGAACTATCACCTCTTAAAATTTGATTGTGTACTTGGAATGACTGTATATGTCTGCCCCTTTAACAACATAAAGCTACTAAATTAATATTTAAAATGCTGGCCTGCTTATGTTACAATAATAAAATTTGTGTCAGTTAATTTACTGTCAATTTCCATGTAAAGATTAAATGATATTTTTTCTGCATTTTATGAATTCTGTATACTGGCGTTTGTTAAAGATTGACATGTTAGGTGATACTGTACAAAATTGTATTGACTACCTATAGTGAAAATCAAAAGTAAAATTCATATGTATTTCCTTTTTACACTTCCATCTAATTTCTTGACAACTTGAATAAATTTCATAGAGCCTTTCTAACATGAACTATTGTTAATTTAACTGTTGCAATAATTAAGCTTTAAGAAGTATTGTTGGTATATTTATAATTTTAAGAAGATCATGTTTGTTTCATACTGCTTATTTTTAGCTGTTCTGTTGTCACTGTTACAGCTGAAGAACTTTACTAAATACTTGACATTACAAAATAACTTGCTGGGGTTGTCCTCTGTATACTGATGTTAAATAAAAATGTGTGATTGAACTGTAAATGTAGATAACTTTCAATAGTCCTTTCCACATTTGAGTTTTAATTTATTTTGCAGTCCGTAGGTGGTCTAATGCTATCATGCTGTGCTGAACAAACGGCCACAATGAAAGCTGTTAACTTGCCGTATTTTAAAGTAAGAAGTCGATTGCATCCTGTAACCTGCTCTGAGTAAACATTTCACTTCATCTCAAGACGATGCAGACGTTTTGATGTTTAAATCTTGCCAATATGATCATGTCTCATTTATTTTTTTTTTAGGGCTAGAGTAATGCGAAATAGAATACTTATCAAACCACTTAGTACTTGTTTAAACTCAGATTCAGTAAAACGTGGACATGGATGCATCTAGATTCTCTCTGCCTGCCTGTCAAATAGGAGTTGGGGCAGAGCGTGGTCATTCCTTCTAGG